AATGATTGGTGGTGTATTTATGATAAATATGTTTGTGTATAAAGTGGTGTGTAACTGTTGTGTAATATAGAACCCATCTTCCAAATCGAGAAAGTTTAAGCAAAGATATAAGAGAGAGTTAATTGATTTGAGTATAATTCTATATTCTCCCGAATCGACTCTCCCTCTCGCTCTTGTGAACCTAAGTCTGTAAAACAGAAAATATATGTAAAATTACCTTCTGGTTTGCTGCTGCTGTAGCATTCAGTATCATTCAAGATTGAACTGTCATTCTTCAATCTACAATGTTTGCCAATGGATTCACAATGTCCACAAGATGGTCTGGACCATTCCAATTGAAAAGAGAACCTACTGTCAAATACACCCCATGGTATGGATTCATGAAGGTCAAACATCTTGCTTAAGAGAACCTACTGTCAAATACACCCCATGGTATGGAGTCATGAAGGTCAAACATCTTGCTGCAGGAATGTAGGGGAAATTCATTTAAGTAATCGTCGGACCTAACTGTATAAACATCATAATCCTTACTGCTGAGGCAGGATACGTGGATTGGATAGTCATCATAATTATATCGCTTGATTTTGGAACAGTTGAAATAAGTGAAGTTCTTATATGCATCTAGGAATTGGAATGGAGATGCGGTCAAATTTAGGATTGGAAGCAATCCTCCAAAGCAGCCAAAGACTTGAGATATCTCGATGAATTGATTTTTGTAGTCGATTTCTTCAATGGCAAACTGAACCAAAAATGGAAGGTTAGAGTCATTTATTGTTGCCTTCACCGGAAAAGGTAATTCCAAGACCGTATCATTGTTTTGATTGCAGTGAAGTTCAAAACCAGGGTAGCCACAGTGCTGTTGGTGGCGGTCTCTAAGCCTGAAGGGGAACCGGATGGCAGGGCCATGCTGCGTGCAGTTTTCGACTCGGCATTCATTTTGAGCACTTGATCCAAGTACTGCAAAGAGTGATAGAAAGATGAGGTAAATGAGTTGAGGTGCCATGTTGAGGAAAAACACTTGATACTGCTTATGAATTTCACATTTCCCAGTATTAGTAATTTTTCAAGAAGAAAAAACAATCAAATCATAGACTATTGAGCAACTTTACAATTGACTTGTATTTCTATTGGTCTCCGTCCATGGGAGAAATGGAATGTATTTTACCCCATTTTAGTGTCAAATCTTTGATAATTAATAGCAACCCACATGTGGGTTTAGCTATGCATGAACAAAGTTATATAAGTCCATTGATTTTTCTTCGGGGCATTAAGATTTCATATACACTTGTTTAAAGACTTTTGAGTCAACAAAAGTTCTTTCAGAATGAATGAAATTATTTATTCATATTCTCTCTAACGTGCTCTAGATTATTTTGTATTGAAAAGTTTGACACTAGAAATAATTGCACCATCAGCCACCAACTTATTACCATTATATCAAAGTGATCCCTAGTTACACTTTCGTAGCACTATTGGCCCCCAGTTGATTTCCATCTGTTTTTCCGTTAAAAATTGGTAAGAGTAAACCAAAATCCCTCCCTAACCACCCAACCAAGATGGTGGATCAAAATTTGAGCAAGATGTTGTTGTGGAGCTCAAAATGACCTAAATTCGGCCCATCTTGCTATATATGTGGTCGGGCAATGCTCATTGAGAATTCTCCCTAACAGCATAAAGTGAATTTAGTGGGCTGTCTATCAAGCCCGTTTCGCAAAGTAGGCCAATACGAACTGATTTGCAACATCCAAAAAGCCATAGACTAATTTGTTGAAAATAGAAAATTTGGGGATTGATTCGTATAAAATGGAACATTCAGTTTATGAGTTTAGTATGAGGATCAAAGATTACGCTGTCTAAACTAGTGGACCACATGGAAATAAAGTGGATGCAAACATCCTAGTGAAAGTGTGAGACAATAGCTTGTGGCAATTTTAATTGAGCATTAACTTGACTATTGTTGTCAAGTCAGTTTAAAATAGTATAGCATATAAAGTTATATCGATTATTATCAAGTAAATTTAAAATAACACAACGTATAACTCAATAATTAGCAATAAGTGCGATCTCCGCCAAAACGTAGAAAAATTGAGCAGCACTAGTGCTCACTAATAATAAGGTGGATGAAAATCGAATTTCCCTAGAAGGTAACAACCACAATAGACACCGTATGAAAAAAAAAGTTGAGTTTTTTTTTTTCAAAATAAAAATTCTCGAATAACTAACTTTTTTTATTTTTAAATAAAACAAATTTACTTTTGTTCCAGAAGTATAATTCATATCTTAAAGGCAAAGAAATGGTAAATTTCTAACTTTGACCAATAAAAATACTCTTTCCAAGTGCTTTCTTACTTTCTTAGACACGTATGCTCTTATTCCAAATGTCAAGTACGGCTTATATTATTTCAGTGAATTATTGATTCTTGTCTATATTATTTGATTGAGTTATTATTTTAAGGTTTCTATGATTTGGACATAGTAAAAAAAAAAAAAAAAATGTCTTTTGACAATTAATAGCTCTCATGGGCAAGAAGGTAACTCCATGGACCTTTAGCCATCTGTTGAAAAAATTGTTAAATTCCAGACTTTTTCTTTGGGACACTTAGAATAGGTCTTGAATTTTGTAAATGTGAGAAACGGTTAAATTAACTCATTTTAATGTTTAAATTATTTAAGAATATTTCCTTGAACTAGCTCTTTATTTTTTCATTCAAAGGTTTGACATTAGAAAAAATTGTGTCATTACTCCCCAACTTGTTAGTGATGTATAAAAGTGATTCCTAGTATACTTTTGTAGCACTATCCATCACAAAGATTTTCTTGTTAAAAGTAGAAAGAGTGTACCCTACCAAACTCCTTGCTATCTGCCCGACATCGAATGTGGATAAAAATTTTAGCCAAAGGGTGTTAAGTGGGGAACAAGTTGACTTGAAGTTGATTCTAGTGGGCTTGCCATAGAATGGACCATCTAGCTGGATATTTGGTTCGCTCCAACAACATAAAGTGGATTCTAGTGGGTTGTCTATCGGGAGCATCTTCAAAGTGGGAATATCTCAAGGTTAATTTACAATAACCAGAAAATTTGGGGACTAATTTGCAGAAAATAGAAAATTCAGGGGCAGAATTGCATATTTCAAAAAAATGTAGGGTACCTTTTCCTAATCCAGAAAATTCACTTTCTTAAACCAAACAATATAGGGACATAGTTGCAGAATATTGAAATTCTAGGAGTGCAAATTCACATAATTGCTTGTTTGGAGATTAGAACGAAGAGCAACTTAATTGGGGATCTTAAACTATCTCGAAAGCCATCAAGTGAAAATTAATGCCGAGTTGCAACACGTCATGGAAGACTTCGTGTGTGTAGTTAGTTGATCAAGTGGGTCCATGGGAAGGATAAAGTAAGCAGTGAAAAACTTCAAGTTATTATTTTAATTTGAGGACAAGAGCCTACGCTGTTGAGGTTTTGAGATCACATGGAGATGAAATAAATATGAACATCCTAGTAAAATGATGATATAATAATTATTCCTTCTGCATTGAGCATTGACTTCTAATCAAATGACAATAAGACTTATAGTTTAGGCAACGTATGTTGATATAATCTGGGATAAGACCACATGAATCTCTTTGTTTCTAAATTTCATTTCATTTTTTCGTCTTTAAACTAGATAAGCTTCTATTTATTTTCTTTAACTAGAGGTTAAGCATAATCCCCCTCTTAGGTCTGTTATTTTTTATTCATTGCTACCAAATTATTGGTACCTAGTGTAATTTTAACGAAAAAAAGAAAGGATTTGTTTCTCATAAACAAACTTGCATCTTGGCATTGTGCTAGGCCGGACATTGAGCTTGTAAGTTCATTGCAATTGTTTAATGTGGAATTAGGGCTGAACATGGTCCGGCTCAAAATCAAATCAAACCAAAATTTTTGGGTATTTAATAAATGGAACTGTTCGAGTTCGGTTCAGTTCAGTTCGATTTTATTCGGTTCCATACCATAATTAATTTTCTTAACAAATTATAAAGGTCAACGATCAGTGGTCGTGGTTGGACGTCGACGATTTCGATTTGGACATGTAGATGTAGGTTTTCAATTTATCAAATGATTTGGGGTCAATGACTAAGTGGTTACCGAATGATAGTGTGAAATTAGAAAGATAATGATACAAACTTAAAAGGCCTAGATCTTGGGCTAAGAATAAAATTAATAATAGTTCCAAAAAATTAAATCAAAAAAATGAATTTAGAAATTGGGTTGGGTTGGGTTGGGTTGGGCTGGGCTGGGCTAATTAGGCATGGACTTGGTTAGAGAGTTGGAACATTAATTACTAAATTAGTTAATTTGCTAATTTATTTAGAAAAAATAAAAAAAATTAATTCAATATAAAAAATTAAAAAGATTATTTAAATTTGGTTCTTATTCTATTCTTCGATTCTGGGTTTAGAACCAAGAATCGAACCTTCTCGATTCAGATACCCATTCGGATATTTAACTTATGAAGAATCGCTCGATTCGATTCAGTTCAATTCGGTTCGGTTCGGTTCGGTTCGGTTTGGTTCGGTCAGAGAGTTTTGTCCAGCCCTACGTGGAATCATGACCATTGCTTACTTAAAAATACTACTGATTCTTTTTTATTTCAACATTACTATCTTTATAGGAAAAAGAGCGTCCATAACTATTCTCATTCTGTATTAGTAATTTTTCAGGAAGAAAAAACAATTAAATCATAGACTAATGAGCCAGTGTACAGTTGTCTTGACTTGTATTCGATTGGTTTCCNTCATAGACTAATGAGCCAGTGTACAGTTGACTTGACTTGTATTCGATTGGTTTCCGTCCATTTGAGAAATAAAATGTATTTTCCATTTACATGATATGCATTTTCATCCCCCTTTCTTTGTTCCCCCACAACAAATAATTCATACTTGTTTCTCGTAAATTTATAGAACACAAAACCCTGTGGAAATTAAAATCAGCATCGTTGAGAGAATCTCTATCAATGAGAAACATCAGACTACTCTTTGCAGTTTCTATAGTCTTTTTAATTCTTTTACACTGTGCAAGTTATTGCGAAGCCGAGAAAAACCATGAATGTCCCCCTACTTCTTGCGGCAGCATCACAAACATTAGCTACCCGTTTCGACTTAGAGGCGACCTCGAAAATTGTGGTGATTCGAGCTACGAACTTGCTTGTGAGAACAATCGCACTATCCTCTATCTAAATTCCAGCAGATTCTTCGTGCAATCAATTTCTTACAATAACTACTCGATTCGAGTACTTGATCCTGGTCTGGAAAAAACCAGTTGTGCTTCATTTCCAATTAACAATCTGATGTCATTAGAATCGGACGTTTTTTACCCGTATTTTTTTTTGATAAATACTCCTATAATATATATCCACTGTGAAGCTCCTGCAAAGTCTCCTTTTTATGTTGATACATGCATTTGCAGTAAAAATATTTCTCCGCAGAAATATTCCTATCTTGTAGTCGGAAACGAAGTCAGATTTGCAGATTTAGAGGATTCCTGCAGTATTGACACAATGGCGTGGATTTCAAAAGAATTTCCCATAGTTTATGATGCCTCCTGTTCAGACATTCAAGATGGGCTGGCTTCCGGATTTGTGCTTTTGTGGTACCGAGTCTATTGCAGCGAATGTTATGCAAAAAACGAAATGTGTCTTAACAAAGATGATAACACCATCGAATGTCATGCAAAAAACGAAGATTGTCTTAAGAAGGATGATAATACCTTCGAATGCTTCCCTTCCTGCGGAATTTCCGACCTATCGCACAGATGTATGTGGGTTATTAGTTTCTTACTTTTATTTTGCTGTGTAACAAAATAGAGATGCTTATGTTTCTGTTTGTTAGGTATATATATTTATCGGTGAAAATAATTGATTCCCACTTCGGAGATCCTGACCTTTTGTTTTCTGATCTTGCTTTTTTTTTTTTATTTTGCAGGTTTATTGCGGACCTGGGCGGGTGGGTTTTCCGTTCTCTTGACAAAATTTTAAATACATAAATATGTTCCTCTAAGTTTCATCATAAATATTTGATGGCCATTATATAGAAAAAATGATGTACCAGAAACAAAAGCAAAAGTCATCATAAATACATAAAGTATTAATTTTTTGGTTAATTGCTAAGAGAATTTTTTTCCTCTCTGTTAAGTGTATATTCATGAGCGCAGATAATTGGACCGGGTGAATGAAAAATAAGTAATCACAATATTTGACTCTTGAATTTTATTTTGCTGATTGTGCTTTTGTTTTGGGTTTGCAGGCCTAAGATACTTCTGGACAGGTCCGTGTTCTCTTTCTTTTCCTTGGCTAGCTTTTCATATATAAGCAGCCTTTTCTTGAAATACCAAACATCTTGTCTCTCAAACTGTTTTTGCTTTTGTTGATTTGGACAGAGCATCACAGGTTGCTGGAACAAATCCTAGGTAAGATCTTCAATCTAACGGTAAAATTATTCTATATATTCCATGTGATAAAAGGGGACCCTTTACTAGAGTGGATTTCGGAAAACCATTTTTCTGCATCAATTAACTAGGGATGACAAATTTAGGTAGTATTTGTAGTGCGCAAATTTTGTTGAATTATCTCCTTCTACTTTTAGCCAAAATATCCTTGTTTGTAAGAAAAAGTTTTCGTGTCGTGTTTCTCATTTTGTTTTTGGTCTTCAGGATCGATTCTTGCAGCAAGATTTTTTTGTGGGATTCTATTTATGGTCGCATTGTTGGCATATAAATTCCAAAGGCGGCACCTCTCAATGTATGACAGCATTGAAGAATTCCTACAAAGCCAGAACAACTTCATGCCAATAAGATATTCATACAGAGATTTGAAGAATATGACTAACAATTTTAAGGACAAGTTGGGAGAAGGAGGCTACGGCACTGTGTTTAAAGGTCAGCTTAGAAGTGGCCCTTTTGCTGCAATAAAATTGATGGGAAAATCCAAAGCTAGTGGACAGGATTTTATTAGTGAAGTGGCTACCATTGGAAGAATTCACCATGTTAACGTGGTTCGACTCATTGGCTTCTGTGTTGAAGGTTCAAAACGCGCTTTGATATACGAGTTTATGCCAAATGGTTCGCTTGAAAAGTACATTTTCCCTCGAGAAGTTACAGCTTTCTTGAGCTACGGTAAAATCTTCGAGATTGCTCTTGGGGTGGCCAAAGGTGTTGATTATTTGCATCGAGGTTGTGACGTGCAAATTCTACATTTTGATATAAAGCCTCACAACATTCTTCTCGATCATAATTTCACTCCTAAAATTTCTGACTTTGGGCTAGCAAAATTGTATCCGGCGGACGAAAATATGGTATCTCTAACTGCAGCAAGAGGTACAATGGGATACATGGCGCCAGAAATGTTCTACAGAAACATTGGAAGAGTTTCGTACAAATCAGATGTTTATAGTTTCGGAATGCTGTTGATGGAAATGGCAAGTAAAAGGAGAAATTTGAATCCGTCTGCAGAAAATATAAGCCAAATTTATTTCCCTTGTTGGGTTCATGACACATTCAGCAAAGGAATGGAAATTGATTTGGGTGATGCTTCTTTGGATGAAAGAATAGTGGTGAAGAAAATGACACTTGTAGCCTTGTGGTGCATACAGATGAAACCTGACGATCGTCCTTCCATGACTAAAGTTATAGAGATGCTCGAAGGAGATGTTGAGTTGTTGCTATTGCCTCCAAAGCCATTCCTCTCTCCAGAAGAAATGCCGGACAGTGATATAGACATGAATGACATGGAGTTTTGCTCGAAGGAGATGTTGAGTTGTTACAATTGCCTCCAAAGCCATTCCTCTCTCCAGAAGAAATGCCGGACACTGATATAGACATGAATGATATGGAGTTTCGAATGTTGTCTATTAGTTTTGATTAAAAAACCAAGTCTGCATGCGCATTGAAATTTAGGAGGATATGATAATAATTATGACTTGTATCAAAGTTCAATTGCATCGAATAATTACGGATTACTAAGTTTTTATTGATTAATGTATTAGTTGAATTGATATGTCCATATATCTAATGCAACATTAAGATCGCATTCATATTTGATAATCCTTTAATGTTGAAATATGCTGGAAGATCTATGCCCTTTTGGGTAACCCTAAAACGTGATTTGACTCCATTAAAAAAGATCACTCGCATGTTTGCTCAGTGTTTTTGCTAGAGGAAAAAAATGATCCATGGGGATTCAATAGAAGTGTTGATTTTTCATATATGGGGTCGGAATTTTAGTGTTATTGTTGGAAGAGTAAACACATAATGTGGACAAGTATCACTATACGTAATGTTGACACCTGGATGCCCAGATACAAGATTAAAACCAACAACTTTCATTTTTCTTATTTTCTTTTTCTTTTATTTACCCTAAAATGTATTGTTCAGACTTAGAGCATGTTCAGTTAAGTCTAGAAAAATGATAAAGTAAAATTTAAGGAATTTTTGTCTTCAAATATGTTTTTACTTTTTCCTACTTTGAAAGTCGATGAAAATTGTAGCGTTTCTTATGCAAATTTGTGTGAGTGCTTGTTTGGGGATTGGAAGAAATGAAAATTAGTCATGAGCTGCAACGCTATGGAAGACATGGTGTGTGGAGTCAGTCGATCAAGGTCCAAGGGAAAACATAAAGTTAAGGAATAAAATTTAAATCGATATGAAATGTATAAAATTGGGCGATTGCACAACTATTGTAGTGGGGAATTGTGAACCCACCATTTACATCAAGTCGGTCAAACGTAGAGGTCCTCTAGGTAGGTTGTTTGGCTTATGAGTTTTGAATGAGGATTGAAGATTATGCTATCGAAGCTTTTGGACCAGATGGAGCTGAATTGTATATGAACTTCCAAGTGAAAGCACGGGATAATAGTTTGCGACAATTTTCATCTAACACTAACTTGACGATTGTTGTCTAATCAATTTAAAATAGCATTATAGCATCACATAATAAAATATGTCAATTATTCTCAAGTCAATTTAAAATAACATAAGATACTAAAATATGTTGATTATAATTGAGTCAAATTAAAATAATATATTATTAAATTGAATAATTAGTAATTAGTGTGATCTCCACCAAAAAAAAGTAGAAAAATTGAGCATCACTAGTGTTCATTAATAAAGAGATACATTTTCATTCCGTTAATGTCAATACACGGTTTCTTTTGTATCACACTATTTTGGGCATAAATAATGTTATTTAACACTAGCGATGTTAGAGCACCAGTTTAGGTAGTCACTTTTAATAGGTTCAATTAAATGAATCATGTGACATTACATTTAAGTGATTTTATCATTTAATATCAGGCAATTACCACCGGTTCTTGACACATGTAATGCTGAAAAGCATTACTTTGTGGGCAGTCCACACTCGTATGTTTAATAACTCTCAAATAGTCCATTCAAATCATGGTAATGTATCATGGACTCTTGCTTATGTTAACCAAATATTAGTCGATTGACTTGACTAGTTGACTTCTTTGAACAATTAATCTACCAATTACGTATTACATAATTCATTAAGTGGATGTTTAATATTATTTTACAAGCTTAAAACAAAATGTTTAAGTTTATTTATTTATTATTATTTTTGAAATCTTATTTCTAGTGTCTTGACTTTTTAAAGAATTAAACGTTTAAAATGTTTATAAACTCGCCTAACTTATTTGGTAGACAGGTACAAGGGATTATAATTGTTTAAAAAGATATTTTCAAACATATGCTAATTTAGTCCCTTTGGCCATCAAAATTGGAGGTGAGAGCAAATTCAACTATGACGGTCAAGTAAGATATATCTCTTTCGAAGAATTAGGAGAGCCACACATTAAATGACAAGTACAAGTACAATTATTCCATATAGACCGTCACATTACAATTGCAATTCCATTGCTCCACATAAATTGTCACATCATGATATTCCATCATCATAATAATAAATAACATTATTCTTTCGTGAATTATTGATTCTTCTCCAAATAATTTGATTTGAGTTGATTTTTTGTGGATTCTATGAATTGGACATGTTAAAAAAATAAATAACAAAATCTTTGATAATTACTAGCACTCACTAGCAAAAAGTTACCTCCATGGACCTTTAACAATATGTTGACAAACTTATGAAATTCCAAGAATTTTTCTTTAGGTCATTTGGAATGCACCGTGTATTATGTAAACGGACAAATCAACTTATTTAAAAGTTGAAGTTATTTAAGAATGAATTTAATTCTTTATTCTATTTTCTCAAACTTACTCTAGATCAGATTTATTTTTTCATTCAAAATTTGACATTAGAAAAAATTGTACCTTTAGTCACAAACTTATTAGCATTGAATCAAAGTGATCCTTAGCGCTTGCTTGGTGCCCATTTTTTGCCATTTTTAGAAGATTTTTTACCATTGGAATAGTAAGTGGGCCATAAGTAGCCCCCTTTGTTGACTCACTTTGTAATTAGAAATTTAAGCAACTACCCTCAACCATTTTAACCAAAGCAGCTCACGTGAAATTTACAATCATAATGTCAAGGGCATAAATATAATTGATGGCTTTAACGTGTGGAACACTCCATCAAAATGTGGTAGCTCTAGTTGTCAGACAAAAACCATAATTTCAAACGTGGAGCCTACAAAAAATAAAAAATGAGAATGAAAAATGTGGAAAGAATGGGGGCCAAATACACGCATAGTATATTTTTGTAGCATTGTAGATCCTAGTTGTTAAAAGTTGATTTCACTTCATAGACTTGAAGTCCACGAGGGTATGCTAGAAACAAAATTATATAATTCCATTTCGTACACGCAGGTTTATAGACTTTTTGAGTCAACAAAAGAATTGATTAAAATTTTGGGGTCCACGGCGATTGATTTATTGTTGAGGGGTGAATTCTATGATTTTGACTTTAGTAATTGAAAAATAAATTACGGTAATCACGAAATTCCGTCAACTTGTAAAGGGAAGACTTTTGAGTAAGCAAAAGCATTGAGAAATTAAAGCTGGGAAAATTCTCCAATTAAGGTAATAAAATTTTAAGCCCTGAAAATTCAGATCCCAAAATAATAACTTTTTCATTTTCTTCTGCTAAAAAACTCGCAATACATGCTACGGAAGACTTATTAGTGTAATCAATCAATCAAAGAAGTGGGTTCAAGGAAAAAGATAAGGTAAGCAATAAAATTTTAATAGACATGGATTGCATGGGATTGATTGCACGACTAATGTAATGGTGAATCCAATGTGTGCATTGAGTAGATTGAACATGGAGGCCCTTTGTGCAGCGACTTCAACTTATGAGGGCAAGAGATTATGCTCCTGAGGCTTTTGGACCACATTGAAATGAAATAAATAAGATGAGGGTTAATAGTTTTTCATTCTGCATTGAACAATAACGAATGATAAGAAGACTATATCCTATGCAACTCTTGATGACCAAATTTGGAATGAGATCACACGTCCTAGTCCTCTGTTTCAAGATTTCATTTCTCATCTTCGAATGAGATAAGCATTCATTTATTTTCTTTAGCTCGAGGTTTACCCTAGCCACTACTTAAGTCTGTATTTTTTTTTATCTAATGCTAATAAAATATACCACCTAGTGTGATTTTAACTAAAAATGGATTTGTCTCATAAAACCTATTATGTTGGGACTCAAATTTCTTGATTTATGGAGGAAGACTAGGTAATTTTGATTTGGAAGTCTGGATAGATAAGGGATCAAATTTCATCATGGATTGAGAATTTGATTGGAAAAAGGACTTTGGGATGAAGGAAAATAAGATGGAGGAAAAGCACCTGAGAGAGGGCATCAAGGCAAAAATAAAGAGCAACAGCAGTGGACGCTTCGGGGCCAGGCTCAAGCACTATGACGCTGACCTTTGTGATTGAAATTGGAGCAAATTTGTATTATAAGGAACTTGACCAATAAGTTACACTTGAAGCAACGCTTGTACTCTCAGGCTTGACAAAAGATGGAGCTTTGAAAGATCATCTATCTATGTTCAAGGGAATCATCGCTAATTTAGAGACCTTGGAAGTCAAGTACGGTGAAGAGAATTTAGGGTTGATATTGTTGTGGTCCATGCTATATATGACTTTTAGAGATACTATTCTCTATTATCGGGATGCTCTTACTATTGACGAGATATATGATGTCTTTATTCTAAGGAGAAGATGAAGCATCTGGTCGTCGAATCTGTGGCCCAGACAGAAAGTCTTGTTATTCGTGAAAGAAGACTGGTGGTCATGGAAGGGGCGGAGTCTCAGATTGCAACAGTGATAAAGTCTATTGGTATTGCAACAACAAGGGGCACAAGAAGAGGAATTGCTATGAATGGTGAAACGGGAATAAGTTTGCTACTACATATTAGAAAAGACAACCAGAAAATTTCGATGATGCGAGTCTTGTAGAAGAAGACTGAAGCGATGGAGATCTTTTGGCTATAACTGACGGTGACTCCAAACCTAACGAGAATTAAATTATTGATACGGTTTGTACTTTTTATATGTGTTCCAATATGGATTGATTTTCTTCCTATGAAACAGTTACAAGGGGCTTTCTGTTGATTAGATATAATGAGCCCAATGAAATAGCTGGTATTGGTAGAGTCATGATTAAGATGTTTGATGGGACAGTTAGGATACTTGTTTTAGTAAAACATGTTCCAGGTTATCTCGTTAAGTACCCTTGATTCAAATAGGTACAAGTATAAGTCGAGCTCTAAAAGTTAAAAAGGGCACCCAGGTTGTGTTAAAGGGGCATAGAAAGTCTCGGTTATATGTTTTGGAAGGTTTGACAATCCCAGTGGAAGCAGATGCAACTTGTGGTTTGATAAATTGTAAC